TAATCAGAAATGTGTGTTCCTCTCCAAATTTGGACTTGTTAGTGAAAATTATCAGAATTTTATTGACACACTAATGACATGTTTGGGGAAAGGAGGCAAGATAGAAGGTGTGCAATAATCTTTTTTTTCTTGGCTGACCCTCTTAGAAATATGACACAAAGTGATATGTCATAAAGTGTACCCTAATCCTTTGTGGTTACCACTGGTGACTTTTGCTATTATGTGATACTATTTTTAGTTTAGTGGATTTGGTATTTGGGTAGAGAGATTTTGTGTTCTAGTTTTTGGCACCAACTTTGTGTTTCCTGCCTTGCTTGGTCTGATCTCCGTTACCCATGTATTCCTTGACAGTTGTAAGCTGAACACCTTGTCTAGTTGTGAACTGAACACCTGAACACGATGCTACTCTTCTCCCAAACCTGCTGATCTTGCTTATACCTAACTTTCAACTTGGGCTGATGTATACAGCCAGTCTCCCAAAACCACTAGCCTGGTCCATCTGAGGGTTACATTGGGCAGCAAGCATTTTCTTTGCTGCCCAGCTTGGCACAGCTCAGATGTTTGGGCATTCTCAGAGCACCCTGATTCTAGAAAAACAAGAAATCAGGCCCCCTTTAAACAGCTTTTGCCATGTAGGTGTTTGTGTGCACGCACACACTTACACATCCACACAAATGTCTGTTTCTTTTATTTGCCAATGTTTCTGCCTAAAAAACCTACTGCCCTTTTTAACATAAATTTCTATGGTTATTTCTCAAGTTATGACCTTGTGTTGCCAGAGATTTCTTTCTAAAACCAAAAAGTGATCCTATCTTCTGTCTACAAATGTTTAGTATCCTGATATTATATCCAGGGAAAAGTACAGGAAGAGCTATCCCAAGGAAGCTATTAAAGCCTTGAGCGTGTAAGGTCATGAGGGTTGGTGATTTTTAGCATGGAAAATAATATATGGTACATAGTAAGTATTCCAAAAAAAAATTTTGAAATTAAACTAACAAATAATAGATGCCAAGTAGTTTTTGAATGTATTTTGATCGAGAGATAGCTTACTGATAAAAGTGTGGAATCTCTGTTGTCTGAAAGCAACCAATTTAAGTGATCAACAACACCCAAAAAGTGGGGGTCATTATTAACATACTGTCGTTGTGTTCAGTTAGGGGTCATAGCATAATACATACATAGTAGGTATGACAATAAGAAGTTTAGAAGGGAAAAGGGGCCTGTTCTGTCTTTCTTGCAGTCCACATTCCACAAGGATTTTGACACAATTTATATAAAAATACAATAGTGCGCTTCATATTTGGCTTGAAACTTTATGATTACCAAGTTGTAAAGGGCAACTGAGTTATATAATTCTTACCATTAGAGGAGCAAACATTTCTTAATATTAAACTCTAAAACAAATTTCCTACCCGGGGCTTTATGTAAAGGGCATTGAGCAATAGGGTGGATATTATACCACTTTTCCAGCAAATGATGTAATTTTTAAAGTTTCTTATGAAGCCCACATAGTAACATTAAAATCCAGCTCAGCGATGTCAAGTCTTTTTGTAGCTAAGATCGTATGTTCTATCTACGTGGTCTGTTGTTCTCCTGACTTGATTCCAAGGATAATTAGAGCTCCTAGCCCTCCTGGGTCTTCCTTATAGAAGGGTCACTTCCTGCTGGCCTTTTTATTGTCTGCTATAGCAGGCATATTAGACTGGGCTATTGTACTGTTGCCTAAACTTCCATTTGCCGGGTGGCTGGTTGAAGTAGGTTCCTATGCTTTAGAAACTAAGTAAGACTTGGTATGAACATCATCACTTGGGGAATACTGAGGTAGCAAAGTAGGGTAGATTCCCAGATAGGGCATCTGTGCACCAAATCGAACACATGATGGATTTAGTCTTCTATGAATTTTACTAGTATGGTCAGTCTTTCAGGAGCCTGGTTCTTGCTCGTGAGTTAGTAAGATTAAATTTTGAACTAAGAAATCTGAGGTCCAGATGCTGAACTTGTTGATTCCTATCAAAATGCAGCAGCAACCTGGGAACAATGCCCAAGCCAGTCCAGTCCAACTAGCCCATTATCCTGGTGGCTAATAAAGAGAGAGGAGGAATACTTGCATGTGTTGCACAGGTTTTTGAATTTTAAAAAAGGAGCTAGAAGTGGTGGATAATACGCTGCAAATGTTTAACTCATTTAAGAGAGCTTTCAATTATCTCTTTTAGTTCCTACTTGAAATGTGGCCTTACTGAGGTAATTCATGTAACATTTCACTTAGCTTCTTTAGTAGTATTACGTATTATATCACCAGGCTGTGTGCCTTATTCATACATTGATCTTTTTATAAAGCTTTGTTCATATATTATTTCTTTGTGGACATACCACCTTTTATTGATTCACCTGGTAATGGGCATGCTGACTGTTTCCACTTTGGCGCTAATGTGAATACCTCTGTGAGCATCGATGTGCAAGTTTTTGTGTAGGCGTATATTTTTATTTATATTAAGACTATGGGCACCTGGATCATAAAATGTGATGTTGTATTCAACATTTTAAGGCACGGCCAGACTTTTCCAGTGTGCTTGCATTATTTTCTAATACCGTCAACAGCATATGAGTGTTCTCCACATCCTCACCAACACTTGTTATCTTTTTGATTATAATCATCCTAGTGTGTGTGAAGTATAGCTCTTTATGGTTTGGATTTGCAAATTTCTGACAACTAATGCTGATGAGTGTCTTTTCATGTGCTTATCAGTCATTTGCATATTTTCTTTAGAGAAATATTTAAGTCCTTTACCCACTTTTTAATTGGGTTATTTTTTTTAATTATTATTTTTTATTTTTTTAATTATTACAAAAGTTTATTGGGTTATTTGTTTTTTATTGTGAATTATAAAAGGTATTTGTATATTTTGAATGTAAGTCCTTTATCGCATATGAATTGCAGATATTTTCTCCAATGTGTGCGTTATCTTTTCACTTTCTTAATAGTGTCCTTTGAAGCACATAAATTTTTGATTTTGTTGAAGTCCAGTTTACTTTTTGTGCTTTTAGGGTCATATGTAATAAACTGTTGCTGAATCCTTGACAACAAAGATTTACACCTGTGGGTTTTTTTTTAACTTCATGGATTCAACTCTTACATTTATATCTGTGATCCATTTTGAATTCGTTTTTGTATCTGATGTGAGGACATGTTCCAACTCCAGTCTCTCACATGTAGCTATTCAGTTGTCTCAAGACCATTTATTGAAAACCAAAAGTGTAAATGTGAGAATTTGTTTCTGGAATCTCTCTACTATTCCATGGATATAAATGCCCAGACATTTCTGTTTTTTTTTTTTTTCATCCATTCTACAAATATTTAGTGAGCATCTTTACATGCCCCACATCATGCTCGGTATGTCCTTACTTGCTCTGGGGAGCCAAACTACCCCTCTCTGAAGCCCAACTCTCTAAGAAACTCATATACCAGGATATAGCATCTTTTTTTCTTAATGAGACATAAAGTGTTTTCCTTGCATAACCAAACTGATAATGACAATTTTGGTTTTTTTCCTGATTTGTACAGTTTTTTGGCAAGTTTTAGTCTGCCAAACTACATAGATGTTCAGAAGTCTGAGTGCATTTTAGAGAGCTTGGGAAAATGAAAATTGTTCTGGGGTAATCCAGTGAGTACATTGAAGATGAGGTTATTTTAAGTGGGGCAAGGATTTACACATTGTGATACAGGGCTCCTGGTAGGTATGGAGTAACCCCTGTGCAACTTGAGAGGCCCTGGGAGTTAGTAAATGTAGTTGCTGGCAGCAGTAAAGCCAGGGACAAAAATGAAAGGGATGAGGAGGAAGGGAGCTCTGTAGATTTCAGTTGCCATAAATCTGCTTCTAGACCTTATCTGATTATCTGTAATTTCTTGCTACTAAGATAAGATGAAATGATGTTTACAGGTGATGGGTTATTGCTTGCTGGGTTTAAGATGAGTTAAAGGAGCCATTAATTTTATGTAACAATGAGAACTTGTTTCTAGGTAGGTATGTGGCTGTAGAAATCAAAGGGAGAGGCCAAAGATATGTAAGTTTAGCAGAACTTAATGATTATTTAAAATAATTGAAGTTGATATCCAGAATTATAATTTGAAGGCATTGGGAAGATAATAGCAATGTTTACTATATTAAAGTGAAAAGAAACAGTTTCTCAGGGTAATTATTAAATTTTGATTTTGCTCCACTCATTGGTAAAATCTTCAAGTGGATTATAAAGATACCAATTTAACCATCAGATAATATATCAAGTCTAATGCACAGGAGATTTCCATAATTACTTTATCATTTTTGAAACCCTTATTGTAAAATGAATGTTCGGTGTCTAGTTTTAAAAGTTTTAAAAGCGGTTTTGTTTTTCTGTCTATATGTTAAGTGTACAACATATTGTACTTGGACAGTGATTTTAAAAGGCTTAAGAAAGGTAACTAGGTTACATGGTTTGCTACCACTATTAATAATATTGTTGTTCTTAGGGAGGAAAAGTTTTTTTTTTTTTTTAAAGATTTATTTATTTATTCATACAGAACTGGGGTGCAGGCCAGAGATGCGGAGGGTGAGAGGATTCACCAGAGACAGAGCGGGAAGCAGAACAGGCAGATCAATGAAATACACTGCTGAGGGGAGCAGTGGGCGGGTCAGGAGAGGTCTGCCATGCCATGTGGGAATCGAACTCATGCGGAAGTGGCGTTAGTTTCTCAGTGCTGTGCTTTAACCCGCTGCGCCGCCAGGGAGGGCCAGGAGGAAAAGTTTTTAATATTGAGAAGTATAGTCTATATCACTAGATAAATGTAGGCAATATATATGGCATATATATTTAGAGAGAGAGACAGTATATATATAGTTAAGTTTTAGTTCGTCAAGTTGAATTTTGGCTTGAAACATTAACATTTGAGTGTTTTAGAAATTTTACTACATGTCAAAACTTAATACAGTGTATTTATTTACCAGTTCTAAATTTTCTTTCAGGAATTGTTCCATCTTCTGTTGTCCTGACTTCTTTCCAGGTGATGTCAAGAGTTTTTCTTATATGGGCAGTAACACATAGCGTCAAAGAGGTAAGCACTTATGTAGACTAAAAATGTCAGCATTGACAAATGCCGGTCAGCTTTTCTTGGATGTGTGCTAAGACCAATGAAGGAACTCCAGGTCATATTAATATAGACCAAACAAAGCTCACGTGTACTGTAGGAATTGAATTAACAGTGGGAAACATATCCTAAATGTGCAGTGTAATAAATAGAAGTCTGATTCCATGATAAAATCCTGTCATCATAGTTGGAGATTTAAATGGTGTGGATATGGCCTGCAACTCCCTTATATTTTCCTGGTATCTGGTTTGTAGGTAGCACAGTAAACTCTGGACACTGCCTCCTTCTCGGGTGCCTGCTGGGGAAGTGGAGGCCGTAATTCATTCCCAGAGCAGCCGAACCTTTACAGGACTGGGAAAACAAACTTGTTTCCTCCCAGCCCACTAGGATTAGTAGGCTTGCCAAATCTACTGAGTCAAGTGGTTTTGGGAAGTGAGGCTGGGGGCCTGGGGTGGTATATAGCATGGTGGTCTACGGATACTCACTGTAAGAAGCGAGGGAGAAAGGGCCTGAGTCACAACAAAGCTTTCACTTTCTGGTATTAGAGATTTCTTCTTTTTATATGTCATTAATTTCTAGTGATATTATTTTGAAGTAGAGGACCTATATCCACAGGAAGATTCATTTTTCAGTTTTTTTATTCCCAATAACGTAAGTGTAAACCTTGTTGGATCCTTTGGAGCTTGTGATATGTGCTGACACATTAGCAGTATTTTGGTGTTTTCTTTGTCTTCTAGTCTTCTAGTATCGCTGTCAAAACATTTCGTTTTTCAGGATTTATTTTGACAGTTTCATTTGTATTTCACCTAATGAGTTTTTTTTTAACTTTTTATTGGCATATCATATACATACAGAAAAATGCTCATGGCTGATGAGCTTTTAACCAAAGCTTGATTAGGCTGAGATACTACTTTTGTTACATCCACATGTTATTTGTATAGCCACAGGTTGGTGTTGGGGTTTGCTTTGTTTTGTTTTAATATTCTCTCATGCTTACGATGTCTACACTTTCTATGTAGGAAGAAAATGTTCACATACTTCCACGTGATAACTTTTTAACAGTGATCATATTTCTTAAAACTGAAAAGTTAACGAAAAAACAGACAAGTAACTCCTAATGTAGCATATTGGCCTTTGTTCTCACTTTTAATTACTTACAGAATAAGGAATGTTTACTTTATGGGAATCATTTATACTTTATTTATAAAACCAGATAACCTCTTCTTTCAAGATTCTTTATACAAATAGCCTGTATTTCTTTTGTGCATACACTATTTCTTTTCATTTTAAACAACTTAAATTTTAACTTCCAACTGGTCTTAACTGACCTAAAATTTCTTCCTAATAGTAACTTATTTGTACTCTTAAATAGATAATTGTGTACTTTCAATAATTGAAATATTAGATACCAGAGGACAGCATAGTGTCAACTGTGGATTGTTTGATCTCCTTGCCAATTCATTTAGCTATTAATTATCCAGGTATTAATGCTCCATCTGATAGATATTTTTCTGCCCTCTGCCTCTCCTCCCCTCTGCTTCAGTGACCTTTCCTGCTTGTCAGTGCTTTTGGCAAAGAGGTAGACAGACACATCAAAGTGCTTTCCGCTCTAGTCGAGTAGTCCTCTCAGTCAAACTGTTGTTGGTAACACTGCCAGGAGTTCCTGGACAGATCAAGTCTGCATGGCCTTGAAAGCTTTTCAGAATGTCTTCTGTGTATTACAGGTCCGGAACCTGGCCACTGCCCTCAGTAACCATGCTCCCTGATCGATGCATGGACTTGACATTTAATACGGTTTCATTTAGAGGGTCATCTTTGAGCTTTACAGAAATTTAACTGACATGCTCGTTCCATTTGTGATATTCAGAGCTTGCTCTGCAGCCGGACTTGCCCAGCTGCTATGATTACAGTGTCCTTATGTCTGCTGTTACCGTGTCAACATCTCATTTTCTTAAGAATGTAGTGCAGTAAACTTTATTGTGTTTCTGTCACCTCTAGGGTCCTTTTCTTTTTACCTGTGTCTGATTAACTGGTGTGTTTGCTCCCTCTCATGAAAAAAGAGTGGGCTCTGCTGCTCTGGAATTAGAGTACTAGTTTCCCCTTTCCCCTCTTCTTTGAACGGAATTTATTCATTCTTTTGTTTACAACAGTAGGTTTGCCCCTGGCCTACTCCAAGACCTAGCCAACTCGAAAAGCCTGGTGCTGTGACCTCTCAGGACTGGTCTTGTTATCTGCCAGCTAGTTCTCAACCACTTCTCTTGACCAAATGCTGTCCTTCTTGCCTTATTGTTTCATATTGGGTATAATTCCGTTTATTCTGTACATTACATATGGCTAAACTTCCCTCCTTTTGTTTTTGCAACATCTTCAATGACCTTTATTTTCCTTACACTCAAGTCTGTTTACTTTATGGGAATCACATAACTAATTGATCTCAGAAATAACAAATAGTGTATCTCATTTTCTCATAATAATGTTCAAAATAGTTTATACTATTTTACTTCCATTCTCAGTTTCTTTTTATGTTACATTTCCCTCTGAAATACACAGGACCTTTGTTTCCATAGTATTGCTCTGGACCTGGACTCTTGACCCTGTTTGGCCTTCACATAGTCTATGCTCATCCACCTTGTTTTTCTTTTTTTAGTTACACATGACGTGTTGAGGTATAGCCTATATACCTTTTAAGAATGGACACCATTTTTTCAAATTCAAGGTATATTTCCTTTGAGGCCCTATAAGACATGCATCCTCACTTGTCATTTAATTCTCTACCCCATGGAAAGCTAATCACATTAATGTCACCAACTATATTGTAGACTGAAAGGCAATCAGATGGTTTTCTTTTAGGATGTCAAAGACTCAGTCTTCAACTACTGTAACATGTTGACTGGCAGGACATTGGGTGAGAAAAAAGGTAATTGCTGTGCTTACTTTGCTTTTTCTAGATCTTACTTAGGAAAAACCTGCCTTCTTTCCTTTTAAAGTGACCATATGTGTGTGGTGTGTGTATAAGTGTGTGTGTGTGTGTGTGTATACTCACTTTCTCTCACTTATGTGAGAGAAAAGTGAAAGAGTAGAGTAAAGTGTCTTAACAAAATAAGCAAGTAGCTCAGGGTGAGTGGTAACAGGACATTTGGGTCTATGTCTTTACCTCCTCTTAAACAAGACTGGCACTTCCAAACTAACCTGCAGTGGAAATGCCACCTTCTGTCTCCCTTCCGAGACAGTTCGTAGGACCCATGTTCTTCCTGCCCAAAAGCGGCTAAGCAGACTACCAGACACACCGTCTGCTGTTCCCTTTCCTGGTTTAGATCCCTTTGGTGAACTTACCCCAAATCCTCTTCTGAGCTCCCAATGTCAGCTCACTGTGTCCTTGGAGCAGAATTCCCAAGTGTGCTCTACGGGCAGTCATTGAGCAAGAAGTTGCTAGGCTTTCACTGTGGCTGTAATGGAAGTGCAATGAGTAACTTCTGCTCTTGAAGTGACTAGGGGTAATTTGCATAAAATAGTCGCCTCTGAAGTGCTGAGTCTTTACTCCTTTCTTTCTCACCAGTTGCCACCACTAGAGAAAAGCCTGTTTCCCACCTTCCTCTGGGGGACCCATGAGTTCTCCTGATTTCACCAGTCAACTTTTTGCCACCTCTTTTCTGGAATGCTGCTGAACTTTGTAATTATCTGACATTTTTGCCAACTTCTTAGCAAGATGCTTATCAAAAGCTTGCAGTCAGTATTTGAGAACATTGGTAATCTCCAGATTTTTTTGGCCATGATGGTTTGTGTTTAATGCCACTGTGGTTTAAAGTTTAGATATATGGTGATTGTTCAGCCATGATAGCAACCCTTCAAGTTCAGTTGTAGTGTCCGTTTACTGTTAGGAAAAGCTAGTGTGACACAGCAAAATACAGCAGAGTTGCAAATGGGCCTCTGAATCCAGCTTCTTCCCACTGCATCAGAACTGCTCTCGTACCCTTCAGAAATCTGATGTGAATGCATCCTTATTTCCTTGTGCTTGGTTTATACCAGGTAGGGTTGAAACACCCCATCTTGGGCCCAGAAGCACTTCTCTTGTTTCATCCTGTCGTGGCTCTTGCATGCTGAGCTCTGAGTCTCCAGACAGTTCATTTATATATGAATTGTACACACCCACCAGGCTGCTTGTCTCCGGCTCTTTGCCCTTCTGCTTCTCTGTTTTCTGAGTGCTCAAGTGCTCTGTGATGAATTCCTTCAATTAACTGGTCTTCTTGAAAGTTCCAAGACTGTTTTTCATTTTGGGCTTTAAGGACTATTTGACAAAATTACCCATAAAGCGTATTAAAAATGTGCATTCCGGGTCTCACCCCACACTTGATGTAAGATCTCTAGACATAGAGCCAGACAAGTGTCATTGTTATGAAGCTCCTCAGATAACTTTATGAATTCTAAAGTTTGAGAAATGCTCTAAGATGCTGTGTGTTCTGTATTTTTTAGTTGACCTACTTTCTTCGTTTTACTTCACGTTTCTACTTAATTTACCTGAAGGTTAACCAGTTCTCACCATTTCTTGCCTGACTCCAAGAGCAGTGGTTTCATTCTTGAAGAAAACCCAGCAGGAGTGATTGATGAGTATTGACTTTCACGTGTCTCCTGAGGCCCAGGAACAGCACTTCAGCTCTCTTTGTTTCTCTAAGGGCAATGTTACTACCTACTCTGCTCGTGTATTTGTTATTTTTTTTAAGATTTATTTATTTATATGTACAAGAACTGGGGTGCAGGCCAGAGGGGAGGAGAGGTGGGGGAGGCTGGAGAGAGAATTCACCAGATGCAGAGTGGGGAGCAAAACAGGCAGGTCTACTGCCCGCGCCATGCGGGTCAGCTCCCTGGCTAGGGATTGAACTTGTGCTACAGTGGCTGTGGCCAGCTTCACAGTGCTGCACCTTAAACCCTTGTGCCACCAGGAAGGCCCCTGCTCATGTGTTTATGAAGAT